AGGTTGCAAGCAACTCATGCAGACAACTTACAAGCAGCTCAAGAAAAGCCTTGCAGCTGCTTCCTGAAAAGCCCCGCAACTGCTTCCTTTCTTCTATAAATAGAGGAGTTTTCAATTCATGAATAAAATATCAATCTCCCTCTATACTTGTTTTCAATTTATTTACTTTTATAGTCTTTATTTTATAACAGGAATTACGTATGGAAAATAAAGTAGGAAATATGTCCGATATAGAAAATGAGCTTATACACGTATGTTGTTCGCCAAAAAGATCATTCTAAAAGGTGTAACATATTCATCTTCTAATAAATTCGTCAAATGACTCACGAAATGTCAAATTCAACTCTTTAAGAATATAAATATATCTTTTAACAAAACAATAACTGATTGTTTAAGTTGATAGAAAAAGCATAAAATTCCATTTTATTAAAAGGATGATTAATTAATATATTCATTTTCTACCCTTTACCATGATAAATTCATGTAATCTGGTGTAAACACCACGTGTATATGTTTTTTTGTCGTGGAATTTCATTAGAGGTGAAGCAAATTATTAGCTACAAGGAATTTTGATATTCGTTTCGAGTTTTAACGGTCCAAATTGATTGCCATTTTTGCTTGACGGAAATGCACAAATCTGGAAAACAAATTCACGAATAAAACGAGTAGTTTTCTTGTACTTTTTGGGTAAATTGGAGAAGAAAAAACAAGTGACACCAATGCATTCTTCGTCCAATTTCTCAAACTCTAATGCTGATTCCATTTCCTATCATGCACAGATTATGCAAAGAATCTCTGGATGCAACCAACTCCAATTTGCTCCATGCATGCCAAAATTTCTTTATTCATATCATCTTCTCCACTAGCCAAAAATTGACCCATGTTCTCCTTAACATAAAGTTCCATTATCTTAGTTTTCGGTAGAAAAATGCTCGAAATATTTGAAGGATAAGAGTGATGTTCTCAGTAAAGCTTAAAAGGCTCCTGGTAGTTACCAGTGTCTTTGCAATGCACAAAGCCAAGAAACATTTCAAAATACTTGATATAACGGTAAAAAGTGCACTCTAGTTTCACAGTTTGTAAATAAATCCCCAGTAACACCAATGCAAAGGGAAGGAGACTCCATTTGGCTTAATAACAAAAGCATAGAACAGCTCATATCTAGAAGAAACAGATTGGAAGTGGTAACAGCAGTACATCTCAAAGGAGCCCTCTCCTTCTCTTGTAGTCACTGACACTTAAAGTTAGAGCATGTCTTCTCCCATCATTCTCAGGAACTCTACATCCAACAGTTGCTTCTATCCTCTGTTTTCGAGCCATAAATCCTGCTTGGGATCCTTGAGGCCCTCCGAACTTCTGAAGCACAGCCAATGAGATAGGCAGATCGAAATCATGTAGCGTATTTGATTCTGTTCCTAGATCAACCGGAGCAATAGTATCCACCAACTTTCCAGCACCTGCTGCAGCCTGCAAGGCTGCTGCTGTAGCTTCCATTCCTCCGTCGGCAATACCACCAGCCCCATTATTATCTACAACTGCCAATGCAGCAGCAGCTTCACCATTTGATGCACCTTCTGCTGCTTCATTAGCACTTTTTGCAAAATAATTCGTAGACCTAGTCCACCTTCTCGAGAAGGGATCATACCCAGCCTCACCAGCTTTTAACAGTTGATTCACTGGTCTGAGTTCAGACGCATTCTTGAAATTCTCGACCCTATTCTTTCGGTTCATCTCAGCCAGCCTGCGGGCCTTGTCATCTTTCTCTTGGGCCTTCCTGCTAGCCTCCAGTTCCTGCAGTCTTGCTTTAATTCTCTCAACCTCTGCCTCATCATTCTTCATTTTGGCCACTTCCATCTCCCTTCTCAAACGATCCTTCTCAGCAGCTACATTGAGTGGCCTCCATGTTGCAGATTTTTTCTGTTGCAACATCTGCTTTACAGTGTCAGCAGAGTAAACGAATGTGTTAGACTTCTGTATGGCCTCTTTTTTTTCCAACACATCTTGTTTACTGGGCATACGACCACCACTTCGTTCTACTTCCTTTACCCACTGATCAAACTCATCCCTTAGAGGAGGAGAGTCTGAAACCATAGCCATCTGCCACCTAGCAGCAGAACTATCATTTCCCCAAACAAGATTTAGAAATTTGAATGTGGTTTTATTTTCTAGCTTGTACTGTCGATTAGGATCTGTGGCATCAACATTGCGGACAATACAGAGCCTATAGATAGGACCAGACCTTGACCTCCCAATGCCAACTCTTACAAAACAACCCACAATTAACTCATCAAAGAAGGGCTCCATAAACCATTTCGCCAGTTTTGACCGCCGAATGGTGATTTCTTTTATATCCTCAAACGTTGGCAACTGTGACTCTGGTGATTTGTCATCATCACTGTCATCCATTCCATCATCGCCTGATGAATCTCCCCCGTTACTGCGTGAATCACTTTCCCCCCTGGTAGGACTACTACCTAGGGCTGCAGCTGTAAAGCTTCTACGTTTGACTGGTGAATAACCCCTGCCTCCAGAACCTTTTCGACCTGCATCCCTCAGTTTCCAGTTACCCTCCGGATCCTGCTGTCTTGCTCGTTTTGCTCGTATCTCATTCAATGCATCATCTCTATCAGCTGCCCTGTCCAAAGCTCTTGTTGATGACCGCATGCCACGTGAATGTGAAGGGGGTGAACTTGGTTTCCTGGGTTGGCTCCTATTCTTAATTTTTCCAGAGATTTTTTCCTGCAGACTCCTGTCAGATTTCTTCGATGCACGATCAGTCAATATCATTTCTCTATCCAGTTCCGACATCTGAGCAAGCTTTTGCCTGTCTTCTTCGTCCTTGTAAAGATCACTGCCAATAGAATCATCATCACTATCGCGCTCATCCCCATAACCATCTCCATCATCGTCACCTTCTCCGTGACTGCTACGATCATCATCTCTTTCCGGAGGGTCCAATCTCTTCTTGAGAGGAACTTGTGAACCCGAAAGCTTTCTATTCGAATACCCACGATCATCATCAGAATCATCGTCCCTGGAATCACTTCCATCATCAGAATATGAANCGATGAGCGCATGCCACGTGAATGTGAAGGGGGTGAACTTGGTTTTCTGGGTTGGCTCCTATTCTTAATTTTTCCAGAAATTTTTTCCTGCAGACTCCTGTCAGATTTCTTCGATGCACGATCAGTCAATATCATTTCTCTATCCAGTTCCGTCATCTGAGCAAGCTTTTGCCTGTCTTCTTCGTCCTTGTAAAGATCACTGCCAATAGAATCATCATCACTATCGCGCTCATCCCCATAACCATCTCCATCATCGTCACCTTCTCCGTGACTGCTACGATCATCATCTCTTTCCGGAGGGTCCAATCTCTTCTTGAGAGGAACTTGTGAACCCGAAAGCTTTCTATTCGAATACCCACGATCATCATCAGAATCATCGTCCCTGGAATCACTTCCATCGTCAGAATATGAACTCTTGTGATGCCTTCTAGACAATGGAGGCGGGCGGTTCCTTCCGCCCGTATTCGTTCTACCAGCAGCCTCCAAGAGCAAATCAGTTAACTCTTCTTCCATGATCTTCTATTCCACTCAGCTACTTGGCAAATAACAACAACTTCAAAAACCACGGGAAAGAAGCAAACTTTTAGTTAATATTTCAATAATTTGCCCAAAATGAAACCAATAAACACAATTATTAGCAGATTGACAAGGGAATATTAATTTATAAGTCAAAACCACCCAATTGAAACCCTAAAGCTGGATACAGAATACAAAAAGCACAGGCAAATAAACTATGCTGATGAACCAAACAGGTAACTACCGATTCAGATCCATTCAACTCTATTAATCATTCAAAAATTCTAAATTTCTGCTCAATCAAGCCAAAATTTAACACTAAAATAATTGCAAAGTAAATAACAGAAAGGATAACAACTAAGGGATTGAGTGAGAGAGGGAAAAAAAAAATAGAGACATACAATTCGATACAGCCGGATTATGACGAGAACGTGGAGAAGTTCGCCGGAGGGAGATGAGAAGGAACAAATTAGGGCGTAGACCAGAAAATGGTTGCGAAGTTAGCGGTTCGGATTTGGATTTAGGGTCCATTTGTTGGGCTTGGGCTCAAGTTCAGAATATTTTTAAAAGGTTTAAAATTGGGAAATTCACGTCTAAAATAATGGTCGATAAATATATATATTTTATATTAAATATTAATATACAAAAAATAATCATATTTTATGCATAACTAGTGTATATTATTTTTAATCATGTAGATATCAGTGTGTTTCCATGTCATTAAATGATACCAAAATATCAACTTCTGGCTAAGATGACTTTTGCGAGTGAAATAGCAATAACAAAGTAGCTTTTTGCGACAAAAAGAAAAAAGAAATATGTCTTCCTTTACCCAGTTTTTATTAATTAATGATTATTTGAGCGATAAACTCCAAAATAATTATACGTAATAATTATCATTATGACAAGAATTTCACGAGACATATAGCGGGATTAGTGACTAGATGGCCAATCGAATTAATTCAACTATTATCTGGTAATGATTTGATATTTATGCTTTTTTAGGTGTATTTAGTATGACCAAAATCATTTTCCTAAGAAGACTCTTGGGAAATATCTAAAATTTAGTGTCAACTAAATAATATCGCCTATATGGATTTTTTATACCAATGCAGCCTCTACTTTTTGTTGGATTTGCATGAATTTGTACTCTTTTGTTACTAATCTATCGTTAAATCGCTCGTAGCTAATAAAATCTCATGATAACATGTCGTTAATCCATCAACAACGAATTTTTCTGTTTCGCTACATAACTTGTTCGTCGCTAATTCCTATTTTTTAGTAGTGTTTCAAGAAATTGTCTGTCACTTTATTATTTATTTATGTCTTATGCCACATGTGATCATTTTTAATCCTGTGTTAAATAAATTAGGAAGACGTTTAATTAATATGTAGCATGAATAAGAACACGACATTTATTATTGATAGTGGTTAGCAAGAGTCTCTCTATTTCCTCTGATCATTTACATGGATTATGAAGTAGTTTAAAATCCCAAATATACGTCTTTCTTCTTTCCCAAAAAAGAAGAGTGAGAAAGAGTGAAAGTGAAAGTGAAAGTCAACACACAAAGAGATCAGAGATGGATCAAATAGAGCACAAATTCGTGGAAGTGAATGAGCTAAAGCTCCATATAGCTGAGATTGGAAATGGGTCAAAACCAGTGGTGTTGTTCTTGCATGGTTTCCCTGAGATATGGTATTCGTGGAGGCACCAGATGGTTGCTGTGGCTAATGCTGGTTTCAGAGCCATTGCACCCGATTACAGAGGTTATGGACTATCCGACCCGTCACCCGAACCCGAGAAGACCACATTCTCTGACTTCGTTAATGACTTGGTTGCTCTACTTGATGCTCTTGGCATTTCTAAAGTCAGTACTTTTGTAGTTCCATTACTATATTTGATCTGAGACTCATTTTTACACTCCTTGATTATAATTATTGTTTTCTTATCTTATATTGCAAATGCATCTGGTGGAACTTTGGATTTGAGCCGTGTTTACTAGTTGACTTAAAGATGCTCATTTTATCTTTGTAATTTGGTTAAACTTATATTAGAGTAAATATCATATACTCTTAATTTGGTTCGAGCCGTGGAAACAATCTCTTGCAGAAATGCAGTGTAAGGTTGCATACAATAGACCCTTGTGGTCCGGCCATTCCCCGGACTCCGCACATAGCGGGAGTTTGGTGCACTGGGATGCCTTTATCATATACTCTCACTTTAGATGGCATTGGATAAGTTTCTTACTAAACTAACACGGCTAGGGGTTGATACAATTTATTTTTATTTTTAACCTATTGGTGCTAAATATTGATCATTCTATACCCTCATCCTTCCCATTTGTTTTTCCAGTATTAATAACGATTATTACGAGAATACCGGAAGTCTGGAAGTAGGAATTGTATTATTTTGTTGAGAAATATATAGGGGCATATTTTGATTTTTTATGATGTGTTAGAGTATAATAAAGTTGTAATTAAGATGAGTAAAAGTGGGTTTCATAATGCTATAGTCCTAGCTCCAAAAGCTTTCTGATCCAACAGAAATCCCGCATTGTGCCTAGCTGATATACAGCTACAGCTAGCTGATCGTATCATTCCATAAGAAAATGGTATATCTGATAGGCAGATCACAGATATTCAATTGACCTTAGTTTTTGGGCTGAAAAAGTAAGAGCAGACGACATTTTGGGATAACGCATAAAAGCAAATGGGACAGATCTAGGGAGAACTGAGACTAAAAGATTGTCCACTGTCTGTTTGCACGAATGGACTTTGAAAGTTTCTTGGATCATCATCAGTAAGAGTGCAAAAAGTGGGAAGTTTCAAGTCAGAACACTTTGATTCGCTATGTCTATGCCAAATAATAGGAAATCCTCATGTCGTTATTAAGTAGTTCCTTGTAATCGTATACTTTTACTATTTAGATTCTCCCGCTAACAACTTTAGCTGACAGGTAACTCTAGTTGCTAAAGATTTTGGTGCTAGGCTGGCTCAGATACTGGTTCTCTTACACCCCGAACGAGTCATAGGAGTCGTCACACTGGGTACTCCTTTTGTACCTTTAGGTCCTCGAAAATTTCTCGAGGCCCTTCCAGAAGGCTTCTATGTTTCCAGATGGCAGGTACAGTCATCTTTTTGCTAAAAACTGAATATGAAGTATGTAGTTTTTGCAATTAGGTAACTTCCTTTCTCAAATGCAGGAATCCGGAAGGGCAGAAGCAGATTTTGGCAGACTTGATTGTAAAATTGTTCTGCGCAACATATACATCCTCTTATCCAGAAGTGACATACCAATAGCAGCACCTGATCAGGAGATAATGGATTTAGTGGACTCATCAACCCCTCTACCCCCTTGGTTCTCGGACGAAGACCTTTCGGCGTATGGTGCTCTATATGAGAAATCTGGATTTCAAACTGCTCTAAAGGTTCCTTATAGGTAAGAGACTTAATGCAAATTGCAGATAAGCCTCGAAAAGGCAATTTTGACATTACATGTTCAGTTCTTTCCATTGTACTATTGGTAAGTATTTGAAATAAACCTCTGAATTTACTATATCACAGGTCACTCAATGAAGAGTTTAACATTTCAAACCACATAGTTAAGGCCCCAGCGCTGCTAATCATGGGGGAGAAGGACTACACCTTGAAATTTCCAGGAATAGAGGACTATATAAGAAGTGGACATGTGAAACATTTAGCTACCAATTTGGAAATAGTGTTCTTGCCAGAAGGTTCCCACTTTGTTCAAGAGCAATTATCAGACCAGGTCAATGAGCTGATACTCAAGTTTCTCAAAAGTCATTCTTAATCTGGATGTTCAGCTTCTTGGATTTTGGAATCTCAAGTATTTCGATGAACTCTGGTGTCAACTGTGACATCCTGCATTGGACAAAAAAGTCTTATATGAAAATTCAAGGGCATCTAACTTTTAGTGCACTGTGTAATAAAGTTAGCCTAGATTTTGAACAATTTTATGTTCAAGGGTTCTACTATCTTCCTATCTCAAGGCTAGGCTTTTGATTGGTCATTAGGGAATTGTGGATGCTTATTCTCTTTATGTTCTTCCTTTCTTCTTCCTTGTGATTGTGAGTTCATTGATATTGCTTCCTACTTTAACCTTCAACTACCCTGAACATATAGATACGAACTCTTCTGAATTTTTAGTGTGTAATTTTTGTTAGAATTCCAAAAATATGAAATGCCATTTACATGTCAGGTAACAAATATTCTGAAATGTGACTTTTTGACTTATAAATGCAGAGAATGTGACTTATAAATCTCATTTCTTCAATTGCGACTTAAAAATGACATTTGTTTGCAAATGCGTTAAACATCGCAATTCATAAATGTGCATTATTAATCACAAATGATAAATACGATTTATAAGCAATTCGAAACGGCGACTTCGTTGTTGTGACTTATAAAATCGACATTTTTCCAAATGCGATTTATTGACTCTTGCCCTTACTTATTATTAAATAATTTTATTTATCTTTTATAATACCATTTTTATATAATAATTTTACCTCATACCTTATTTTTTTTTATAATATTGTAAGTTTATTCTTCGTATTGTTAGCGGATGCCCAAACATTCTGTTGATTAAAACAATACGGTACCATACATAACAACCATCCAAAAGTAAACAAAGTGTATATAGTCGTCCGACATTTCCAAAGAAAACACTGTCGGTCACTCTCCATTCTCAACATAACTGAAAGTTAAAAGGAGCAAGATGGAACAAATAGAGCACAAATATGTTGAAGTAAATGGACTAAAGCTTCATTTAGCTGAAACTGGAAGTGGGAATTCCCCAGTTGTGGTGTTCTTGCATGGTTTCCCTGAAATATGGTATACTTGGCGATATCAGATGATAGCTGTGGCCAAAGCTGGTTTCAGAGCTATTGCACCCGATTTCAGAGGATACGGGTTATCGGATCAGCCACCCGAACCCGAGAAAACCACTTTTCTTGACTTGGCTAATGACACCCTTGCACTTCTTGATGCTCTTGGCATCTCTAAGGTATTCATCTTCTCAAAATTTTGAGAAGAAGAAGTAATTTTTTTACTGTGTTATGCTTAAAGTTCATTCCTTTTCCCTTTTCCTGGTGGCTGGTGCTAGAATAACTCTACTGTAAAAAAAAAAAAAAAAAAAAAAAAAAAAAAAAAAAAGTTGGATCGGAATTCATTGCTTAATATCTTATAATAAAGCAAATTACTTAAAAGAGTAGTATAAATCAAAACAAGTTGTAGTTAAAGAAAAAAATTGAAAGCGGGAAAGAAAAAACCAATTGACTCCTCAAATAGTGATAGGTAGGAACTAAGCGTTGAAAAAAATTGATTTATGGTTCAAGGGATGACTGCTATCCTTATTTAGACAGGAACCTAAACTGGGTAAGTAAACTGGTGTATTTGAAGTAGGTGGACCATGTGTAGATTGCTTGAGTAAGCATAAATAGAATCTAGCCTTCTTTAGCTTCTAATAAATTAAATACACTAAGATTTTGCAGTTGAATCTATACACATTATTACTCTAGTTAGTTGCCACATTCTTTTAAGTTTGTACAAATCTATAGTCATTCTTGTGTTCTTTGAACTTACATCCTTTTCAGAATTTAAAAAAAAATTGTATCTTTTGTTCTTTATGTAACTTGAAATACTTTAATATGTTTCATGTACTAGTATTTAATATAAGAATTCTTAAGGAACATCTGAGCTTCAATTTTGACTTAAGTGCTTGTATATTGGATGAAAAGAAAACGCAGGGACTTTCGAGCAACTATAAGGATTTTGTGCTTGAAAATCATTCTACATTACATGGTCTAAGCTCATAATCTTGAATACATTGGTTGTTGTTGGCTAAACTTCATTTGAAGTATGAAAATTTGGACAGTATAGATGACACCATAATCTCCTGGCACATTTAGGAGTTCCTGTTCCAATTCAATTTAGAGCTTGTGTTGTCATAACTTGACGAAATGATCTATTTACATATTACCTGTAATTCTAGGTGAAATAAGAACTTGATATATGCTGGTGTTTATATCCTTGTTCCTTTGCACTCTCTCTCTTTCTTGGCATGGGTCGTACTGATCTCTATATATGTCCAATAATGTAGGCTTTTCTCATTGGCAAAGACTTCGGATCTGCTATCATTTCCCTATTTATCCTTCTCCACGGGGAGAGAGTCTCTGGATTTATTACCATGGGAGTGCCATTCTTGCCCCCACAACCTCTCAAGTACACTGAATACCCCCCTGAAGGCTTCTATATTTCGCGATGGAGGGTACAGTTTTGCTTGCTGATTTACATTTGATGATATCAATCCTAGCTCTCTTTGATCTCCAAGAAATTTTCTTTCCAGGAACCTGGTAGAGCTGAAGCTGATTTTGGTCGCCTTGACGCTAAAACAGTAGTGAGGAACATCTACATTCTTTTTTCTAGNCCCACGTCCTAGCTAAGGCGTTATCTCGGAGTGGGTTGCTTGTTTCGGCTCCAAATCATCAAATCTTCAATTTTCCAAAAACTTAAAATCGAGGTATTCCGACTTAGTTTTTGTTAAAACTCGTATAAAAAATGCATATTAGATGATTTTAATGTGTTCTATGTTGTTTTGTGATTATTTTGCGATTTAACTAATTTGTTGTTTTTATCCGGACTATAGTATTAGTGTGCTAAAACAATTAGTAAAAATAGAGAAATTATTATTAGTTGTTAAAAAAATGTTAATTAGTTACTTTTTACTGTGGTATATGTATTTTCGTGAATGTTTTGTGATTAAATTTATTTGTTGTTTTTATCCGGTTTAGATTATTTATTTGCTTAAAGACTAGTAAAATATATAAATTGTTACTTTAGTTCCCTCTAGTGGCATCTTGTGGCCTAATGTAGTGCCCTTTTAGTGTAGTAAAATGTAGTGCCCTTTAGCGTAGTATCCTTGTAGTTATTGAAATTAATCATTTAAGTATCTCTTATACCCAAAAATACGTCAAAAAGGCTGATAGTTCAAACACAAACTCTGTCCAATTTTAGTCAACGATCGTAAGAAAATAACATGAGAAAACAACAATATTTCCCGGACTAAGTATTATTATATGAATATTTAATAATTAAATCATGTATAGTTATGAAAATTAATTATTTAATTTTATTATAGTAAAAAATAAGTGAGTCATAAACAAAAATATATAATAATAAAATTAACATATAAAATAATAAAACTAACATATAAATTAATAAAACTAACATATATGATAGAATTTAAGGGTCCACCAAACTATATAGAGAACCAGGTTCTCTATAAGTTCCCACAGATATAAGTTCCTACAGAAACCACGCACACTCCAGTGAGTAAATGACAAGAGGAATTTTACGTGGAAAATTCCCAGCTCAACGGGATTAAAAACCACGACCTACCCTTGTAGGATTTCAACTTCACTACTAAGCAACTTTCAGATTACAACCTATGTAACCTAGGAATTAACCTCTTAATCCCTCACTAACTTGTAACACTCTATTACAAGCCACTTTGTAATAACTCTATTACAAAGACTTTACAACTCGACTAACTCTAGCCAGGTTTATGATTTACAAATGGTTTCCTACGCAATGCTTCTAAACAAGCTAAGTAGGAATTACAATTGAAGAACTATTACAAAGTTACCACTCAACTAAGGACATACAATAACTTGAGATAGGGAACTGGTCCGTAGTAGTGTTGTTCTTTGTTTTTGATGCACTTGAGAATCGTTTTCTTGATGATCAATCATAGTGAGTGTGCTTGAGTAAATTCTCTAAGTGTTCAAGTCATTTGTTTTACCTTCCTTGATGTTAATAATGCATTTGTAACATCACTAGGATGATATAAGCAAGGCAGGTAAAAGACACTCCCCATAAAGTTGATTGATGTACTGTAACGCGTGCAGGCAGCAACTTTACAGCTGGGGCAGTTGACTTGTGCAGTTTTCTTGGGAAACAGTAGCTATATGTTTCCTCTACTGTTCCTTTGACTATGATGAGTTGAACCATATCCCAAGCTGGAACCTTTTGATCTTAAGGTCTTGAGAATGTGTAACAAGTTCCTTATCTGGTTCTTGACAGTAAGTTTGTTGGATCATCAAAACATAACAGGGATGTACATATAGCCTATCAATATATAATATTAAACTAACATATAAATAATAAACTAACATTTAAAATAACAGATCTATTGAGTGATAAATCGGAAAAATTTTCTCATCATGAACACAAGAATTCAGGATACCTTGGTGCTACTGAGCCTCAAATATCGAGTCTGGAACCCATATATGAATATTTAATAATTAAATCTTGTATAATTATGAAAATTAATTATTTAATTTTATTATAGTCAAAAATAGGTGAGTAACAAACAAACATATAAAATAATAAAACTAACATATTAAAGTAAAATAATGTAATTAATATTGTTCAATTTACAATAGCCGACATGGAGGTTCCGCCTTTGTATCCCGGACCTGCCACGCTAGAGCTGTTGTTGCTACAGGGCGAGCATAGGTCGTCCTACATATGGGAGGGACAGTTACTGGCCCAGACGTTCCGCGACAGGAGAGTAGACGATATGTGAAACTTTCTTAGGGCTCACCCTCTCTATCCCCGTATAGTCAGACGCCTCCAGGACACGGGTTTTTATAGAATTGTGGAGATCGGCCGACTGCAACTGGATTGGTCGTTGATCACGGCCCTGATAGAGCGGTGGTGACCAGAGACGCACACATTCCATTTGTCCATTGGCAAAGCCACTATCACGCTTCAGGACGTGGAGGTCCTGTATGGGCTGCCCGTTGATGGACACCTTGTTTCTTTGTCGAATGACATCCGAGAGTATACGGGTTTGCAGTACCAAGAGATGCTGCACCGGCTCACCGGTTTTCAGCCACCGAATGAGACTGCATTGATTGGGGCCAGTCGTCTGCAGTTGACGCCCGTCCGGCAGTGTCACACCTCCTTTCTCCCGAGGGGGGTAGGGGAGTTTTTTCAATTAAAGTGACATTACCCGAAATGTGATTATTTATTTAATTCAGAGTCGCCACTTGGAATAATTTATAGTGTCCTAAGTCACCGGTTCATTTTAAAATCCCAAATAGAGGAAATTGACTCTTATTGATAGTCCGCGAACACAGAAGACCGGATAAGAAATTCTGTTAACTCGGGAGAAGGTGTGAGGCATTCTCGAATTTCGTGATTTTAGCACGGTCGCTCCACTATTAATAATTGGCCTAATTATCTGATTTATTACATGTTTTAAGACTTATGTTCATTTTTACCTTTTAACCGTTTTTAGTATTTATGGAATTTGTTTGAACAAGTCGCAATGTAGCGCACTCGTTTGTTTTTGTACACATTGTGAATCGCGCCACGTGATACGCACCCGCGATTTACAACATGTTAATTTTTATTATTATTTGAAGTTATGGTCGAGTCACGTGAAACGCACACTCGAATTGGGGATTATGTATCATAACTATGCCACGGGAACCGTACCCATAATTACGATGATTTATTTAAACGTGCCTAAAGCAAATTAGGATATTCATGATTTTCCTAAAGCTAATTTGAGATTAATTTGAGGTCGTGATTTATGGGAGTATAGGTGAGCACTCAAATCTATATGCTGAAACATATGGCTTTACGAGAAATCTGAAAGTTGAAAGTTTATTTGTCTTTCCTTTTTAGAAATGGGCACGGTGAGATGTTGCATTGATTAGTAGAAGGATTATGAATCATGCTTAATTGAGTACTCAAACAAAATATTCTACAAATCCAAAAGAGCGTTGATTGGGCCCTAATTGTGGCCTAACACGCAGAAATCACAGGCAGCATTAATCCTGCCTGCTTATGGGACTAGAAAGGTCCAACTGGGCCTGAATTTGGGCCCAAAATGCCCCTGAAGCTTAGAGTCCTCAAGACTCCATAATGCCTGGTACATACGGGCCACCTATTTGGCCCAATAGCGGAAATGAAAACTCAATAATTGGCAACTCACTCAAAATTTAGAACATCATTGCAAGGAGATGAATTAAATACAACATACTGAGCATGAATATTTTGTTCGATTCCAAAATTACATACATAACTACATTATAAAACTCAGGTTTGACAGTAATAAATGCCTGATTACACCTTAATGAACAAATACACGGCCTGTACTAATAGAGAAAACAACTTTCTAACTTATTAATTTTTAGCTTCATGCCCGTATGTAATAGCTTAGCAATGGCCTAATGAAAGTGTGCTTCAGACACTTGAACCAAACAACAACAACAACAATCCAGTATAATCCCACTAGTGGGGTGTGGGGAGGGTAGTGTGTACGCAGACCTTACCCCTACCCTGGGGTAGAGAGGCTGTTTCCAATAGACCCTCGACATCCTTCCCTCCAAGAACTCCCACCTTGCTCTTGGGATGACTCGAACTCACAACCTCTTGGTTGGAAGTGGAGGGCACTTACCATTAGAGACACTTGAACCAACACACTCTATTTCCTCCTCTTGCTTTGACATGTATCTCAACCCAAACCCCATCTTTGGAAACACCAGTTATTCACTAAAATAAGTAAAACATCTTCTTTTTTAAAAAAATAACATTTTTTTTTGCATGATAAATGCAGTAAACTCATATTGCAACTAGACTTAGGTTTCAATACAGTAGAGTTAACAAAGATGCAACATGATGAAAATCAATCAATTAGGCAATAATGAAACACATCAAAGCATGAACCAATTTAACTACTCTCATTCAAATGAAAAGAAAATCTATCGTTTGGACAGAAGATACCTGGCTTACAGCAAAAACAAATAACAGAAAATAAATCTATGACTTTGGAGAAGAAGCAACAGCTAATCGTAGGAAGAAATAACAGAATCAGTTCTCAGCTAAGGTCAAAGAAACTAAAGATGAAGCCAAGCTTAACAAAATGGCAGAAGTAGCAGCAGTAACAGCAAAAACAGCTTCAAATCCACTCAAACGAGAACTCAGAAACTACTGAAATATTGCAATGGAATTCAAAGTGGCTCTTTAAATCTTTTTTTTTTTTAAATCCAGATTTCAGAGTGTTTTTCTGTGGAAAATCAGTGAGGATGAGTGTAGAAGAAAATCAGCATATATTCGTGAGTGAATATGAGAGGAATGCTGAATGAATGAATGAATGCCCCCAATTCTATGCCAACGAGAGTATATACGCTATGCTCAAAAGAAAATGAGAGAGTCTAAAAAAGAATCTGTCAGCGTGAAAAAAGGAAACCACAGCATCTTTTTTAACCAATTTTGTACAGTTGTCCCTTTTCCAAATGTTTTCAGCATTTTTCTTAACAAATTGAAACAGTTGTCCCTATTCTAGAACCCTATTCTAGAAGCTTCTTTTATTTTTTCACTCTTAAAATTCTGTATTTTACCCTTTTTTATCACTCCAAGTTTATC